CCAATTGCTTTCGAATATGCTCATTGCACTTTTTTGCTACTAATCTATGTGCATACACGTGCATGTGCGCACTTTTTTGTACGCCTCTTCTAATTTGCTAATTTCACACCATTTCCTTTTTTTATCAATCCGTCGCACAGTGTTTTGACTATATGAAGGTAGGTGAAAAAAAGTCATGGTAACAGTTGATAAAAAAAACACCAGTTGGGCTTAGAGAGGGAAAAGTAAATGTAATGAATACAAAATTTCAGATCAATTACTCAACCCCGTCTCTCCTCGAACGGTACGTTTCCAAAAAAATACTGGAATCGGCGCAATACCGACTAATCACTTTAGTTGCTTTTGGCGCTGAACCCATTAAAGCAAATGTTTCTTTTTCAACTGTAGTCAACTATTTAAGTGCCGGGAAATATTCAAGTGAAGGTATTTATCATTTATTTAGTATTTTTCTATTTTTCTTATCAAAAAATTAACTTTGAAATGTAGATGCTAAAGGTTATTAGTAAAAAAAAAGTGTGAGTACCGGTTCATCAGGTCTTGAAATTAGACGCATGTTTCAGAGAATTCTATGTAGTTTTCGAATATATAATTGGATCTTTTGGCGCGACTTTGCAAATATGTATATGTAATTTTCGATTTTCTTAATTGTCGATTTTCAGCTTCTTTTTGTGTAATTTCGCGAAAAGAATTTTTCGAACAATGGAAAAATCACACCAAACATTGGGAAAAAAGAGAATATTTATACCTATATAATTTTTAAGTATAACCTTGGCTTATCTAAGAATGGAAAGCAGAAAACAAAAATTAACCATAATTCCATCACATTTAATGATTGGGCCACATTTTTTTGCGAGTTGTAGACGCTATAGTGATCCAATCTTCCCCATATTTTATATTAAGGGTTTTCTAATAAAAGAGAGAGTACAAACTAAATTTCTAGAAATCGGATGAAATTTAATGTTTCCGCCCCCAAGAGTGGAGGGCGTGGCAATTCCCATCTTAACCAAATTTCATAATTTCTTATCTCTAAGTATAATTAGAGCGCATGTCTAGTTTCAGCGAAATCGGTGCACGTTAACTATTATTTCCACCTGCCTCCATATAGGTGAAACTGTGCGTCGTTTCGATATGATTTGCTACAAACGCATTTCTTTGACGTTTAATTTGTTTGCAAATATTACTTTGTTTCAGTTTTCTTTTATTTTGTTAGCTGTGTATACATATGTAGGTACCTATATATTCATGTTCATCCATATGGACATACATATCTACATTAGGGCGGGTCAATTTGTATGGCAGATTTTTTCGACTATAGACTATAGGATTCTACGTGTAATCAATTTGGAGTTTGCAAATTGCGAAAGTAGGTTTCTTTTACTTAACATCTTAATGCAGTGTCGAAACGAAGTGCTTAAATTTTGTATAAAAACATGGAATAAGAAGTTTTTGGTATGAGAAATCTTTTGCTGGACTTACATTTTTCATAAAACATCCGCCAGAGGGCGCAAAAAAGAAAATTTTCACATTTTCTTACGTGTTAAAACAAAACGTCCCAGTAGAGAAGATCGTCACTGGTAACATCGTCACTAATGAGGATTTAGTGACATTGTTGTGCTTGCTGTGAATCCTAAACGACATATAGCTGACAACGACACTGGTGACAATGCCATGCAGGTGTTCTCCTATCAAAGACTTATAACAGACAATATCTTGCAGCGGTCACGTATAAAAAGTTCATTGCAGGACATTGTCGCTTGAATGCCATCAATGATCACTGCTTGACAAAGTCATGTAGAGGCCATCAACGACTAAATTACCATTTGTATGAAGAAGTCATGAACGACTTCCATATAAACGTAGACCAAAATCATTGAAGACTTAAAATGGCCGTGCAAGACACTTAAGTGACTAATGCATGACATTCGCTACGGGGGTATGTTAAATTTTTTTATGCAGCTAAAATTCAATACAGAATCCATGTGTATATGTGTATAAGAAATTAATTTTTTTTTACACTTTTCCATTTACATTCAGATTTTTATTAAATTAATTACAGTCACTCACAAGATTGAGTATCCGTTGATTTGTTTTAAATATTCACAATAGTTTTCATACTAAATATTTTTTGTTAATTTTTTATTCAAATATGGTCTGTATTTAAGAAACACCATATAAATCTACGTTTCAAACTTTTTACATAAGTTAGAATTCTGCCAAACTTCATCCAAAATTGCAAACTTTTCAATAAGAATTTAAAACAAGATTTCGAGTATGCAGTTTTATAGGCCATTCAATTTTAGTACAATAATGTGCAAAGTCCAATGTCCGGTTGCACCAATCAATTTTAAATTTATCAGCCAGTTAAAATTTGAAATTGCACAATTTTGTTCGGAAATTTGTTATTTAAATTTTAACAGTCTGATATATTTTGAAACTGATCAGTAAAACCGAAAATAATAGTCTTAAAAATAACTTTCTTTTAGTTTGTTTGTCGACGGTGCTAAGAAGTTTCTTCCATATAAAGTACTCTGTGTTTTTTCTTTTATATGGAAGAAACGGCATAACGCCGCGGCGCCAGAAAAAGAATAGTCAAAAAACTTGATGACAAGTATATATTAGGACTTTTAGCAAATTTGCATGAAAAACTATAAATTTGTTAAAAATACCCATAAATAGACTAAGTAAATCAGAAAAACTTATGTAATTTCGAAGTTAAAGCTTGAAACGCATGGGAAATGACGGGCTACGGGCCACAGCTGTCAAATTATTTTAACACTTACTCTTAAGTATATAATTATTTTGGCGACGACACGGCAACACCGCGACTATCCAAAAATTTAGCTGTGGCCAGATTAGATCTATTTGTATTTTTCTAGCGACAGATAATATTCATCCTCTTCTTTTATATCAAACTCAAACAAATTCATGATATCGCTGCCATGTTCAAAAAATGCATGTCGCCATCGACAAAGAGTTTAGATAATGCAGATAACATATTGGAAGCTGGCCCGTCGTTTTCAATGTGTTTCAAGCATTAACGCTAAGAAAATTGATAAAATTTACTTTCTTAGCGTTACCGCGCATTGCTAGCGTTAACTTCGAAATTACTTAGGTTTTTCTAATTTACTTAGTCTATTTATGGGTATTTTTAGCTACTAATGTTGGTTTTTAAGTAAAAATTCAATTTAAATAAATAAATTTTTGGTTTTTCATGCTGTTTCACCCTCTGGCGGATGTTTTCGGAAAAAGATAAGTCCAGAAATAGGTGATAGGTAATAAGAGCAACGGAAATAAGGTAAATTGACTTTATTTCTCACCCTGATGCGAAATAAAGTCAATTGACATTATTACCTTTTTTGAAAGCGAAATAAAATCCATTGACATTATTGCTCTTTCAAACATTAAATTTGCTTAGCTTCGCGGCGGCCGGCGTCCGCGCGCCACACCGCGCGCGCCACACCACGTCACGCTACGCCGCGGCTCCCCTTCCCCGTCTCCCACCGTACTGTAACGCAGGTAGATTTATTTTTTGTATACGTTGAAATAAAGTTTTTATATATTTTACATATCGAGGACTTATATTCAATAATACCCTCTATCTGCATATCTGATATAAAAATCCAGCTAAGATTTAACTGTCATCGGTAATATTAATGCTACCATATATAACGCTTGACAGAAGAATTTAGACTATTATAAATTGGAAATCAGAAGCAATCTATCAGTGATGACAGGTAATAAGTCCCAGATGGTTTCTAAAATCACAAATTAGTTTTTGTGCAAATATAGGGTATTAATGAATTTAAGCCCTCGATATTTCACATATTTATATTTGTAAGTTATTGGAAGATTTCTGCTGTTTTGGCAACAATTTGTATGCAGTAAAAAAGCATATAATTTGTGTTTCAAAAGTGTGTGAAAACCAAAAACCAACAATTAACTTACATGATCTCGGTTCCGATATTAAATAATTGTTTATACCCGCATTTTGGCACATTGGCTTGTTGAATGTGCCATCTAATAAATAATGTCGTCGTTCTCCTTAGCTGCTTTTAAATGATGTCACAAATTGCTGGTGGAGACATGAATACAGTGTAAGAAAATTACTTTTCTATAATTGTTTCCTTATAGAAAGGTTGGTTTCTTTTCCACCTTAGACATTCCGAATTCGTTCAAAATATGCTAATTTAAAACACAGAATTCTTTCAGTGTTCCTCCGGGGTTTTTGGAAATGGACTTTTTCTTCAATTTAATAGTGTTCGCTTTTTTTTTGTGGAAACGAAACATGTTTTGCAAGTTCTGGATCATTTCTACAATCTTTCTTCAAATATTTCTCGTATTCCAGCTGCGTTTTGCGTTTGGTTTTTCGCATCCTGTTTTTACTATATTCGTAATTTTAAATTTTTTAATAAAATCAATTGGTGGTAGTTCATGATTGTGTGTGAATTAATAGCACCACACTGAGGATTTGGCAATAACCTTTTTCATCTATTAAAAAACAACACTTACGGGGCAATGTTTATTGTAAAAACAACATTTTTTTCTATGAATCGACATACTTTAAGCATTGTTCACGCTATTTCCATTTGAAGTCATTTGACTTTATTTCCACATTTTTGTTGACTTTATTTCGCTTTCGAAAAGGTAATAATGTTAATTGCCTTTATTTCGCACCAGGGTGGGAAATAAAGTCAATTGACCTTATTTCCATTGATATTGTTACCTGTCACCCCAGAAATAGATTCCTCATGCCGTAAACCCCTTTTAGCATGTTTTTATACAAAATTTAATAACGTATTTACGACACTACGCCAAAATGATAAGTAAAATAAACCTATTTTCGCAATTTGCAAACTCCAAACTGATTTTAGGCCCATGGTTTCTTCCGCAAATTTGCTTAGAACTACACGTAGAATCCTCCTATGATATATGCCTATAGTCGAAAAAATTTACCCGCCCTAATAAACATACATGGTTTTACATAGCTATGATGTACTTACCGGTAGCATTTTGCTGTTTGTTGTTTTCGGTGTCAATCGCCAATTTTCTGACTGGCTTTATTAATGTTTTGCCGGCTTTGCTGCTTCCAATATTATTTGTTCACCGATTTGTATGCAACTCACTGCATTTATTATATTTAGTTGCGATTAAAAAAGTCTTCTCACGTCTGAAATTTGTTTGATTTTTTATTAATTTGAACTTTTTATTTAAAAACACATGAAATCGCCAACTTTAAGCAACTAATGGTTTTCGAAATATTTTAGAAATTAAAAAAGGATGCAATTTGATGAAAATTTACTTGTGTTAAACTTATTTTGCTCATCAAATAAACGGTGTTTCACAACAGGATTTATAAGTTCCTCTTCATCTCTGTTAATTATATTTGTATTAATAATAATAATAATAAGAGATTGGCGCTCACACATATGTTAGTGTTTGGCCGAGCTTCTCCTCCGATTTGTGGCGTGCGCCTTGATGTTGGCACACAAAGAGGAGGGAGAGGTATTTTAATGAGAAGCTGTTTTTCATGGCAGAAATACACTCGGATGTTTGCCATTGCCTGCCGAGGGGCGACTGCTGTTAAGAAAAAACCTCTATTCTAAATTTTTTGCGATGTTGCTTTGACCAGGGTATGAGCCCAGGCGCTTCGAGGTGGAAGCACTTGTTACCACTACACCCCAGCGGCCGCATTATTTGTATTATCTTCTGTTTATAATTTCATTTTCCACGTCATATGTGCGTACATACAAATCAACATACCGCTCATTTCCTAAGAGACCATTGCACCTTATAAAATACCGAAAATGGAAATGAATACATACAGTCAATCAATAAAGTTTAGGTACAGCAATTTTTTTGCAATATTTTACTTTTCGCAATTTCTTTATAAAAATACGGTTAATTCCACAACATAAACCCCGAAAATCAGAGCTCCAAACCTTCTGCCAAATTAAAGAAAATTCTGCAAATTTTCGTTAAAATATTGCACTTTTTAATTACACTCTTTGGAAAAAAACTGAACATGCAGTTTTTAGCCCATCCAATTTTAGTATAATATTGTGCAAGTCTGAGGTAGCTACATATTATTTTTGGCAAATGTTATTTTTTTTTTTATATATGGAGAAAATTAACGACACCTTCAACAAAAAAATTTGCCAAAAATCATTTGTAAGAGGTAGCTACCTCAGGCTTGTACATTGTTATACTAAAATTGAATGGGCTAAAAAACTGCAGTCTCAGTTTTTTTCTAAATAGTGTAATTAAAATGTGTAATATTTTGATGAAAATTTTCTTTAATTTTGCACAAGGTTTGCAGCTTAGATTTTTTGGGTCTTAGTCGTAGAATTTTAAAAAAATTTTCGAAAAATAAAATAATTAAAAAACAGTTGCCCGTATTGCAAAATAATCGCTATACCTAAAATTTATTGATTGACTGTATTCTCATCTAAAGCCGAAACTATGTATGTACACAATACATTAAGACCTTATCACGAAGTGTCCACGAAAATAGGATCGACAAACACCATCTCTTTGTCGATTTCAAAGCCGCTTTTGACAGCACGAATAGAAGTTGTCTTTATGCCGCGATCTCCGAATTTGGTATCCCTGCGCAACTGATTTAGCTTGGGAAAATATCAGGGCAGTAGAAGCTAATTTTGCTTCGCATGGTAGTCATTTATTTATTTATTATTCGTTAATTTTAACTCATTGGGCCGGGATTTATTGAGAGTAGCAGGCTGGTGGGTCAGTCGAAAAAATCGAAAAATCTTATAGACACGGTGTGTAAGTCGCTAACCTTACGGGAACTTTTACATACGCTAAATGTGAATCTGAAGTGGAGAATGGCACACTTCCAATATAAAAAAGTCACATCTTATTATAAGATGAATAGGTACCTAAAGTTGACGCCTCTCAGAGGTCAAATATTGTTCATCGCAACCAATGTTAAAGAACACTGCATAGATAATGTACATACAGTGACTCAAACAAGTGACAAGTGAGTAACATTCACAATGTTTTTTTTTTTTAATATTGACCGAGCTCTAACTAAAACCATATAATTCAATGTTTCAAACTTAATAAAAAAAAATTAGGAAAATTTAACAAATTTTCATCAAAATTTCAAACTTTTTAATCTAAATCTTTAGAATATTTGCAGTATTATGCCTATACAATTTTAGTCTAATGAAGTGCGAGTTTCAAGCGGCTAAAAACTCGTTGATTTTTAATAATTTTTTTGTCACAGTATATTCATGTCAAGTAGCAACAGCTGCATAGCGTTTTTTTTGTGAAACATATCATCAAATCGACTGTAAGCTAAGCGCCTTTAAGAACGTTCGTATGTACGCGCATATGCAAAGTTTCAAATATATAGCATTAACAGTTAGCGAAGGTGTTTAAATTTTTGATGGCAAGCAATTATTTCTGTTAGTTTCCATTTATTTGTGTTTTGCTTCCATTTTCGAATGTTTCTTAATTTTAAAATGCGACTTCAAGACTTTTAAGAATTTTTCATATAATATTATAATGGCTTTTTTCGCTTTATATGTTGAGATGCAATTAAAGCGTTCATTAATGGCGCGTACGAAAACTCCACAGCTTAACACTATCCAAAAATAAATTCACATCTGCCAACGAAGCGGAGCCAACTGAAATGACAATCGCGCAGACGCAACCACAGCTTCAGCTGGAGCCCAAGCCACAGCACAGCCATGCAGCTTGACTGCAGAGTTTACGCAATCGCTTTTTATTTCGTACCAAAAAATCTGCGACTCACTGTTCACTTTCAGCAGCTACCAGCAAAGCGCTTATGTATTTACATATGTATAAGTATACAAATGTACATAAGTTTGTATGTATGTACTTATGTACATTTCAATTTTGTTTTTTAACTAGCATTTATGTACAGAGCACTTCAACAAGCAAACACAAATCGTAAAAGTATAGCATATTCGGAATGTTTGCTAAATCTGCTATGTAAGCTAGTTATAATATTTGATATGCAACAGCAACACTTATTTACTTATGTGCAAATGTGCATAAAGTATGTCCTCCTTTGCTAATTAAATATTTTTCATTTTAAGATAAATAATTTTGTCTTTTTATAAGCCTTGTTTTAAATTTAGCGCATGTTTTTTACATCTTTGTTTTTCGAATTTAAATTCGTTTCTTTGGTTTATCACCTCTGTAACAACTGCACTGAACAACACTTATTAACTCCTACGTTCACTACTGAGGTGGTTGGTTACCTGCTTCTTTTTACCGCTAAGTCAACATTACCGTTCAAGAGCCACCGTTGCACTGATTTCAACTGTTGCCAACACGGTAGCTCCAAGTCATAAAACGTGCCACGAGCTAGCCACCAACAGCAACAGTGCCAGCAAAAGTAAGTCCGTCCATACACGCAAAGTGGTCTTTGCAGAGCACTGAGATATGGAAGTATGCGCCACCGTCGTTGCCGCCGCCACCGCCACCACAGGTGGTTTTGGAGGTTCACTTTTATTTTTTTGTTGTTTTGCTGTTTCGGCAAGTGGCACTCAAGTTTTTCTTGTTCATCTTTTTATACATAAGTAAATAAATAAGTATGTAGTTATTTTCGCATATTTTCACTTAAGGCAATGAGAAAAATGAAAACAAATGAATGCCTACAGCTGAGAGGGTCTATGGAGCGCAGATGAGCTGTGTTACTTCGAAGCAGCAGCAGCAGCAGAAAAGCCGGTTATGTTACTACATGCATATGTATGTATGTATGTCGAAGACAAAACAATGGACCAGCAGTTAAAAGGCACAGCAATTCACCACTAACCAACTCTACAAACGAGTTAAATCCGTTCAGTTAGTATATGTATTTGTTTATTGCAGTTGTTTGTACTATGTGGTGGGCATTTGCAAGAGAGCCATGGCCGTTTGTCTCTGCTACTTATTGTTAACAGACTGGGAATATTTGTGTATATTGCTATTGGTCTTTTATTTAACAGCGCGCGGTTGGTTGATTTTAAAGTGTCTACTAAATTAGTTCTACATGCCAATACTGATTTAATTATGTTTCGGTGTGATTTTATGCATAGAGCATTACTCATTCGACATGTGCAACAGAGAAAATATTTATGTCTGTCGGTACACCGGAAAAAAATAGACCACTGGCTTGGCACATAAGAGTGGAGCAGCTCAAACCACGCTGAGCTCAAGAAGAAGTCTTATAAGGTGATGTAGAAGTACTTTTTTTTACGGAACCACGCAAAATAACTCTTGAAGTCGTGAAGAAAGTAGCACTCAGAGCAATGTCCTGCTCTCGTAGTAATTTTACTGTATCTGTTTTACGAATAAACCGGAGCATATTTTCCAGTGTTAAAATCTCTGAATTGCTGCATCCACTCATTAGCATTGCCTGGGGTAGTGACTCCTCCCGAGATGAGTGGACTGATGGTATTATTGTCAAAATTCCGCAAAATGGTGACCTGAGGGATTGTGGTAACTGGCGTGGCATGCGTGTGTTTGCGTTAGGTGACAAAGGAACATCTGAATTCGACTATCGACACCCTCAGGACGGGTTCCTCACGGGTTTCTCTTGTACAGATTGTATAAACACAGTGATAATAAGTGGAGCATTTCGCCAAACTCAGAGTAGATCTGCAGAGAAGTGACTGTTATGAAATCTACATACGACGGAGGTAAGTGTCGTGCGCTTTACAAAGGAAGGCTGTCTGAGACCTTCGAAGTTCATAGCGGAGTTTTACAAGGTTGGATACTCAACCCCCTTCTCTTTCTTTTGGTGATTGCGGATGTGTTGTATGCTTTCTGATTGTATACAAGTAATTTTTTAAGGAAAAAAAAATCGACTTCAATTCTCATACAAAAATTTAAGAATACCGAATCTGAACCAAATTAATATGGGATCACCTCAGAGGTACCACCATTCTTTTGCTCAAACTTTGAGTACATTCTTTTTAACCATTGATTTCACAAGTTTCAAACTGCTAACACTTGAAGTCAAATATCAAATTAATACGAAACTTATAAAACTTAATCATATAATTTAAATTGAAAATTGACATTTTCCAACAGTGACGGGTGCAACAACGATGCCACCCGCGTCTTTGAGTTGTAGGATTTGTTTACCAATTTGAGACAAACTATAATTATTTCGTTCATGGCGCTTTTCTCGTATGCAGCTAATAGAATGTTAAAGTCCATTTTATGCTTTGATGGCATTATTATATTTGAAATTACAAAAAAAAAACATATTTTAGCTTGTGACGGGTGGAACAGTATTTTGTGACGGCTGGGACGAGTCACTATTGAGGACACATATGTACATAGTTTGTTTGCTAATGGTTTGATGGGAATATTTATTAATTTTATAAAAAGGAACCTTATTTGAACAACGAGAAGCTTAAGAATTATTCTATCTGCTTTATCACAGATTTAAACACAATCTATGTAATTTATTTTTTTAACTGTGGTGCCGTCATCGCTGGAATGGCCGATATTCATACATTTCAATTTATTTAAATGTGTACATATTTACATACATATGTATGCATATCTACATGCATATATTTCAACATTCGAATAATCGCGCACCAATTATTATTCGAATAATTGACAACGAGCAATTATTCGAATAATCGGTGGTGGGCGATTATTCGAATACAGCTAATCCAGTTTTACTATTCGAATTGCATCATATTCGAATGTTCGATTAATCGAATATCAATAGCTCTACAAATTTTGATAAATTTCCTTGTTGTAAACTGTTTGAGAAAACGAATTGCTGGTATCGCTTTGGATATTTGTAACTCCGATGTTTTCTTGATGCTTAGAATCATAGCTATTTTGCCTGTTACGACTGCCGGTAATGAAAGAACATTTTCAACTTTACGCCGCCTAAAAACTTATCTTAGATCAAAAAGAAAATCGTCTCAATGGGCTAGCTTCTCAATATTCATAACAAATAAATACAATATGCTGAATACTCTAAATAAAACAATGATAATAAACGAATGACTTAATATAAAACGACCTCCAAAAAGAAATCCTGCGGCCGGTCCTGGAGGGACTTAATATGTACACTTGCCCAATCATTCCTGCAAGTTTCAAAATGGTTAAAATTTGCTAATAGCTTGTCACCTGGTTGATGGACTACTGTAGCCAACCAACCGGTGGCGTGCAATAACGCCCACCGGCGGTGTTTCCACTTTTTTAGGAAATAATTCCCATTGGTATTATTTTGTTTTAAACAAACAAATAAATATATAATTTGTTCGTAAATAAAAAATTATCTATTGTATTCTGAGAATTAATTAATGAAAATAATACAAGTAAACCCTCGATAAACAGAATTCAACTAACTGGCAATCACTGATAATGGTAATAAAAGTAAAATTTTAATTTTTAGATGAGTTATTTGCAAAAAAAAATTATGCAGGCTTTTACATTTTTTGCAATATTCCGGCAACCAATCATTCGTATCTTATGGTTGTTCGACAGTCAAAAACCAATGTAGCTAGGTTTTATATAGCAAACTAAAAAAAAAAATCATAAAAAATTGCATCACGTAATCTTCCGAGCAAATTACTTTTCTAATTTTTCATAGTGTTAACACTAGTAAGGTTACTTCGAAATTATATAAATCCTTTTTAATTAATACTGTTGGGTTTTCTAATAAAATTGTAATTTTAAATTAATTAATTTTTGTATTTCCATAAAAATAGTTAAAAATTCCCAGATAAGCATGTCCTAGGGTCTCTCATTACACATTCCTGTGTGGTTTTCCTCTTAAAATAGTAATTAGCGATTTTGGTAGGTATTAGATACTACGCTACCAAAAAACATAACAAAAAAATTCCATCACTAAAATTTTTCGAGAAAATAACTTCTATCATTTTTCCTACCGCTACCGCGCATTACTAGCGTGAACTTCGAAATAACATACATTTTTTGATTTACTTGGCCTCTTTATGGATATTTTTAACTAATACTCTTGGTTTTTTGAGTAACAATTCAATTCTAAATTAATTAATTTTTGCTTTTCATGCAAATTACTAAAAATTCTAAAATATACATGTCATCGGTAAAAATAAATCTCGACCTCCAAGAAAAAATACTAAGATGTATTTTATTTTAAAATACCTAGATATTTAAAAAAAATACATAATTATTAGAAAGGGGAAAAATGAGATTTCGGAGGCTTGTGTTATAACCAGGGCCGAAGGAAATAAGCTAGAAAAAATCAATTTTAAGCGGATGATAAGCACTAAAACATTAGTAAATATGCCCGCAAATATGCTCGAAAAACAACAAAAAATATACGTAAGTGCAGATTAATATTTTGTTTTTATTCAGTTTATTTTAGGGATTGGGCGGAATTCAAAATTTCTTATCGCCAGTGGTGTTTTGTGTATCGATTTAGTTGTCTTTTTTAACTATTATTAAAAACAATTCGGATTATTTTACACTAAGATATGATTTTAGATAAGATTTTTTAATTATTTTGAATCCCTTCAATAACACCAATGCCTTCCCGTAAAGAGAAACGTATCGAAGCAGAAATACAATTGAACAAAATTTGTTTTTATGTTATTATTTGTAAACATTTCTTTAGTTCGACGAATAAAAAAACGCCCAAGAAATGCTCAAGAAAAGTTAAATCTTCTTAAGCAGTACGGAGTTCTTGAGAAATTTGCTAATATGGTTTTCTAAATCCTTTTGTGAAGAAAGAGTACAAGACCCCCCTTGTTTTCATCAAAAATATATGCCCGTTCCATTATTTCGTAATGAAAAACTGAGACATAAGGTTGTGAAATGGCATGGACACTACTACTCACACATACGAAATAATAGCAATTTTTTTCTTGACCGTTTTCTTAAAAGGTCCGTACTTAGCATTATACATTGAAATAAGCAAAAAAGCTTCTTATTCTTCTTCTTTATTGGCGCTGTAACCGCCGAGGCGGAATTAGCCGAGTCCAAAATAGCACGCCAGTCATTTCTCTCCTGTGCCAACTGACGCCAATTGGAAATGCCAAGTGAAGCCAAGTCCTTCTCCACCTGGTCTTTCCAAAGCAAAGGAGGCCTTCCTCTTCCTCAGCATCGCGGCCCGCGTTGAATACTTTCAGAGCAGGGGCGTTTCTGTCCATTCGAACGACACGGCCAAGCCAGCGGAGCCGCTGAATTTTAATTCGCTGCACTATGTCTATATCGTTGTAAAGCTCATGGAGCTCATAGTTAAATTGTCTGCGGTATTCACCTTCGCCAACGCGTAAAGGTTTGTAAATGTTTCGCAGAATCTTTCTCTCGAAAAATCCAAGA